GTACCTAGGGCGGCCCTTCACGAGGTCATCACTTCATCTAGTAAGTAATGCAGAAAGCCATCGGATACAGATGGCTGAGGAACGTGCGAGAAGGAGTGCCACAAAATATTCAGTAACGGACTTTAGATGGGCTGTAATGTTGATAACGACGATGAAGCATAAAAAACTGTAACTTCATTAACCTTTAATGAGTCAGCAGACACGTAAAATACATTTTATGCCAATATTTTTCCTTCAAAAAATAATCGGTTGATCGTAGTCGCATCACAGCAGCTGCTGCGTAATGCGCGTGCGACGGTCGCGTGCCCCGTAGACGCACGAGCTGAGCCGAGAATTCACGAACGACGTCTGACGCTAGCCGCCATGCGCGGACCTTATTGTAAAATTGAGATGATTTTATATGCAAATATGTTGAAAAATCCAAAAAAAATCGGGTATATGTCCATTATGCCGTTGAACTACTAGTGCATACTAACTTATTTTCAATACCTCGATTACCAGCTTAAAAGGCATGTTTTTATGAATTGGCATTATTGCAAAATACTAAATTTTATGTTTAATAGTTTTAAATTTATAGCCAGCTACTCTATAATTACACATGCAATTAAACTAAACGATGTTATACTGTATAGTAAAATGAATAATATTTATTAACAGGACGTGTAAAAACGTCTGCATCAACGCATGTTAACCAACGTTTAATGGATTATTTAATGAGTAGGATTCTGCCGACGACAAAACGATTCGCGAATTCACAGGTGTGTGAGTTCGCGTTTCCGTCGCATCTAGTCTATCCCGTTTCGTATAGAGCAACAACGAGTTCAAACAATTAATAACCCCGACGGAAATATCCACCCATTATGGCACAAGCTTCCCTTCCATTATCAAAAATTACTATTGCAATTTGATTTCGATGGGCGGGCAAGGCTACGTGATCGTGTTGCTACACGAATTGTCTTTTTTAAATTAAATGCTATACACGTGTTTAGGATCTCCATTTAGGGTATTTCGCATTGCAATTATTTTTATTTTGCGATGTAATTGGATATAGGACACGTGTTTACAAAGGTGTTCTTTTTATTGTTATATGGACTAAAACCGCGGGTATCCATATATAATATAGTAGTTTAAAAGTATAATAGCAGTGAAATAATAAATATTTTTCGTGCTTTAAAAATAAGCTGATTTTCCGTAATTTCAACAAACGAAAGATTTCAAACTCAGTTAATCTACAGTCGAATAATATGGGACTGTCATTTTCAAGAAATTTTTTTTGTTAATTAATCATAATTATAGATTAAAAATATAACACAATAAGATTAAACACCCAGTTTGAATAATTATTTCTGCTATTTTTTTATTAAATTACCGTATCATAATTGCTTTCCGCGTAGTACCTAATACGTAGGTATTTTACTTTATTATAAATTCAATTGTTTTTAAAAACAAATTTACAAAGACTATAGACAGTAAAACTGTTCTGAGATGTTAGTGCTGCAAGACTCAGAGCTTTATAAGTTATCTAAGCGCCGTTTGAGCAGGAGTGTGCAGATCCCGTTTTTGACTGTTTAAGTCGTTCAGAACGGAACGCTGATGTACGTGAGTATACGGTGCAACCTTCTGCGAGTGCGTACCCAGCTGAATATTAAACGAGGCTCTTTCGATCGATTAAGGCAGTAAATATGTATATAACTTTGACGATTGATAGGATTTCATGACAGAAATGTGATGCGCTGCCAACTGTCAACTGCGCTTGCCTACTCGCTTGCCCAATTTTGTAAGCAAGGGCGAGTCATTCAGGTTATCCATGGCAAATTTATGTGAATTAAAAGCGTTTAAAGTCGGATAAATGTTCTATTGTTGTAAAGTGAGTAAAAATAGTCGAGGAACATTCATAAACCTAACTTCAGACAATCTACGACCATATTGAGAATTAAATATGAATCTAGTTGTAAAGGATATTTAGAATACTTGGGCTATTGTGCGTGTTATTGGTGTCGAATATGCTAATCGCTTGAGAATGATAAATAAAAAAGTGACCTCGCTTTAGATGAGAGAATGCCGACTGGCATGCAATACACCCATGATAGAGGATTTCATACAACTTTTTAAAATTAATTCAGCATTGGATATTTATATTTTAACATGGTAGAGTCACCTCTAAGTGTGAAATTCGGCACGAATTGAAAGGACCACACTCCCATACCAGCGTAAAAAAAGCTGCATAAAGCTGCTGTGTTTTGTGTGGTGAGTGCAAATAACCGTTGACTTTAATTTCTAGTATCGAGGCAATCTATCTTAGTTTTCAGGTGTAAAAACACATCTATATTTTTATGACTATCGAGGATAGGTATTTGGGCCACAGCATAAACTTACATCAGGTGGTACCTTTGCCCTCGTTTGCTACCAATATTCTATTAAAAAATATGACTATCATATCTCGAAAAGAAATAAAATGAAAATATACATTAAATGAAATTTGGTCTGAAAGTAAAATTTCGATCTCTTTTCTCTACGAAGAAAGCTTAAAGAATCAATCATAGAGTTACGAAAAGTGAATTAAATACAAAAGAAAAGAGATTAATCCCTTGTTTTTACCGACCTTTTGTTTATTTGTAAGATAAGTTTTCACTAAACACAATAATGAAAAATAATGTTACTCCCACTTACATGTATATTACAGTTTTGATTATTATAAATTCTGCTTATACAAAATATCTACTTTCAGTAACGGCGTTGCTAAATTTAATAAATTAGAAGGAAGAAAAATTATCAGGGGCAGGAAATGTGTTAGTTGTACCTTCCCTTTTTATTGAAGGTTAACTCTGGCAGTTACGCTTGTATGGATGTTTAACAGTTAACGCTATAGATAGATTAGATAAATTTTATGTTTATGTTATAGAAGTAAAACTCTATTTATTAATCAAGTCATGATATTAATTATTTTTGCCAAATAAAAGCGGGTTAGTCATGTTTTAAAATTGCTATTCATGTAAGGAAGAGTGTTGACTGGGAAAATGTTAATAATTTGTTTCTTAAATATAAAATAAAATGATGTTTTATAAAAATAACTTTTGTTTATTTGCAGAAACATGTGATTAAATGATGTAGTATTATTTCTGTCACTTTAAAACATTATATAAACACCTAAAAGTATTAGGAATCTTTCTTAGGGTACTAATAAATTTATATACAAGTCTTTGTCTCAACACATTCAGACTATGTTACAAAAACAGATTTATACTGAACAGGAAAATATTATTATTACTGGCTTAACTATGGAAGTCTTTCCTTTAAGTGCATCTATCAAAATAAAATTAAAATTCTTACCCTAATGACTAGAAAACGCTTACAAATTAAATTATATCTATATCCTACTGGAAGTAACGTTAAGTAAGGCAACATTAAGGCACAGCAACATTCGAGTCTTACAGTATTGCTAAATGCTTATGTGGAACAATAAATGATCAACTCAGTCTTTGTAATGCTATTCCATCGACGTATGAAATGCAAGCATGGGTATTCGGTCGTGTTTAGTCGCTCAGCGGAATGCATCGTTATAGTCCACCATTATCCCCTCTCATTAGGAATATACTGATTGCGCTTAATTAGAGGTTCTCTCGCAGTCCCTTGCGCTCCAACGCATTGGTCCTTCTTGAGGCGAATACTCGTTTTTTCACAATCAAGACGCCGCTTACTGGCCACACTTTGATCTCCGTATGCAACGGTATCTATGAAAAAGAAAAATAATTTTAATATAAAATGCAATTAAAGTAAGTTTTAATAAAATAATGCTGGCTTCGTTCTAATATATGCTGGCTTGATTTCCTTGAAAACGCGTCTGTCAACAGATGTCTGTTCAAAGCTTAGCAAATATTGTAACACGTGTGCTTTGCTCGCCGCCCCTCTATTTCCTCTTAAGATTTCATCTTCCGGTACAATAAATTAATTGATAGGTGGGTCGTGTTTTTTTTTTGCGAGAACTAATTTAGAAATTTGGATACGGCTACTTGTTTTTGCAAATCGGCCGTGTACCATATGCCAAGCCGCGTAAGCTCCTACTGACCGGATACGTCGCGTTGATTTAAAGCATCAATGAAAGGACGATCTGTACGAAACCTGTTCCCACTTGAAACGAATCAGAGCAATCTCATATGACCACTTGTTATTAGAATACGCAACTTTTTATGTGCAATTTTCTCACTACATGCGGGGCGAACCACAAGATTGTTAGAAATTATTTCTGTTCGGATGTTGTTGGAATAAAAGAGCAGAATGCGGGTCCTATCTGACTTATTACACACATTGGTTTTTTCTGCAAAATTTTAATGTCGAATAAAAAAAAGCTTCTACCTAGCAGTTTGTAGTATGAGGTTTTTTTTAAAAGCTACATGTTTTAAGACCGTCCTTTGTCAATGAGGAGCTTTTGTACTGAAGTAAATTAACAATAGATAGATAAAGTCTATGCGACGGTTCAATGCGCGTTCATAATAGTATGTGTTTACGTTTTGGCTTCGAATACCGAGGACCCAAATCGCTATTGAAATTGTGCAACATAAAAGCGTATATCTGACTTGCTAGGTAACCCTGTCCAATGCATATCGCAGAAAAACTTTCGTACCTGAGCTTTTTGAATTCTACCGTTTTTATATTTTTCATATTCTCATATTCGTGTGTTAGTTCGTATTAGTTCTTACTTAAATAAATCAGAAATGTTAACCTTGAAAAATAAAAATAACAATTTATTCCAATAAAAGCACCGCCGTGTCAACAAAGTCGCGACTTAAATGTAAACAGCTATGATAAGAATTTTGGGTACTATCAGTTTCGGAGCTTATGTCAACATGCTTCAAGAATTTTATTACACAAAAGTTTACTTCTTTAACTTCATTTGAAGAAATTTGTAAAGATTAAGCATATTGTACATTTGTTGCTTTATGTATATTTTTTGTGTTTGATATTTACCTATACAATGATAATATATTAAAACATACCTTAAATCATTGTTGCTGCCACCATGATATAACATCAAGAAGCTCTTCATCTTCAGGACTCATTGGTTCATAAGAATCGTAGGCGTCATGACAATTTGGGCCCGCGGAGCTTTCTGATACTAATGACGGAGCTGGTGAATGAGATTCTTCGGAAGAGGGTGGTGTTTGCGGTCCATTTGGAGTCAGGCTTACTCCTATCTGACTGTCGGAGCAACCTTCTTCACTTTCTTCTAACAGCCGTTTTAGACTTTTGATATATTCTACAGCAAGCCTCAAAGTATCAACTTTGCTAAGCTTTCGCGAAGATCCTCTACCACCTGATAGAGCTGCTGTCACTGCAGTCGGGATGTGCTGTCTAAGCGCTGCAAATCCATTATTAACTTGTTTCACGCGATTTCTTTCCCGGGCGTTTCTTCGGGCGACAGACGCAGGTTGAGTTGGATACGGCTGGTGGATGTAAGATTTTTTCTTGCATCGGGACGTATCTACTGGAGCAGGCGCAAGTCTTCTTGGTGCAGGTGTTTGTAGTTGCGTAAGCTTCTGATTGACACCGAGATTTTGATAAGCATGTATCGCCGCCATAGGCATCGCGTCAGTAACCTGTCGAGAGTAGGTCAAGTAAAGCGCACGTGTACGTGCCGCGGAGGTCGCCGGTGGATTGGCGGAGGTGGCGCGCACCCCCGACACTAAGTAGCGCGGCGCGGCGGCGGTGGGGCGCGTGCCCGGCTCGCGCGCACGCACGGGCCGCTCCCCCCACCTCTTCCCATTCTGTTCAACGCCACCGCTCTGCTACTTGTTGCGCGCCGATCAAAATACGCCGGCGCTTATTATGCCATAGAGCAAGCGAAGAGCTCGCGACGCTATTGTTGCACGCTGTTGTGCATAATTATCCTGTCCATTACCTTGTACGGAGGACAAGATCTGCTCTCGCTTCGTCTATTTAGAAGTCGTTAGGCTGAATAGCCGCTGTAAACGGATCAGCGATGATATTGCGTTATTAACGTCTCATAGCTTTTATTTTCTTAATTAGATCTGTAAACTTTTTTCGACGGTAAGCCAAGGTTTTAAGTATTAAGCTTTATATTATTTTTGTCGCTATATATAACGCCGCTAGTTACTATTCTTGTGACGATTATATTATATAAATTTGAATGTATGTATGTACGTAACTATATGAGGCATAGCAATGGTTGTTGTAATAGGTGCTATAATAATCAAATGATTCCCAGAGCTTTTTATGCGCTACCCGTCATAGTAGTTAATGGGAGCTTTGAGCTTAAGGGCAGGTGCGTTTGGTGCACCGCCTAACCTAGACTACAGTTGAAGTCTTTTATTTAAGGTCTAATTAGAGTGTTGGCCTATCGCATTAAGTAGACCTTGTGTACTTTGATAAGATGTCTATGTAATTTCATATTAGGATCCATGCACATGGAGTTATTATAATTTTGATTACTTTTCGATTGCGATTCAAATAGTACCTAGTTAGGAATGGTGTTTTAAAAATATGTATTATTATTTGTAAATATTTTTTTACTTTAATTTGTAATTAAATTATATTTAGAAGAGCCGTGCATATATGACTAAATATAAGCGTGTGGCCCTTTGCGAGCTTTGGCCGGTGGCGGGCGTCAGGTTGAGCGCAGGTGTGACATACGCATGTGCGGCACAGTTCTCGATGTGTCGATTTTGTGCTACTTCTCGAAATTACTAAACATAACCGAATCACGAAAGTTAATGCTTTGAATATTCCTAATGAAATAGCTCATTAGAAACTTATTTAGGGACTTATGGTTATGTTATCGTTATTAGTTTTCCGTTATAAATAACTTTATAAAACGAGAGAGAGTTTGCGGTCAGGTATTTGATTTCTGTGACCAAAACTTTTAATTAATAGAAACAGGTAAGATTAATCCTTAGGTTTATATTATAATAGAAAGCACAAATAGTTTCAATGTTTTACCAGCAATATTGTTTTGATAAAATACATAATTTTTAAACATTTAAATTGAATACATTAAGAGACCACGCTTTCACAGAATATCTACTACTGTATTTCGCGTGGTGTATGTAGAGAACTGGAGAGGCTTTTGACTGGTACCAAGGTATTCCATCTTTATTTTAAGGGGAGACCAAATACATTAAATATGTAGGTGTCTTAGGGCCACAGCATCACTTAATTTCAGGTGGAGAATGTGCTCACTTGTCACCCAAAAAAAAAACGTTGAGAAACTGTGTTGGTATCTAAAATATTTATTATTCAACATTGATCATCATATGTTCTTGTAATGGCTGAGTAACAGAATCAACTACCCCATAATATCCCGTGGGTGTCGTGAGAGGCGACAAAGGAGATTAGCAGACGACGAAACGGGAGATGGACGGCGGCATCTTCCTGATAAGACCTAAAAATAAAAATCTGAGATTGTCAAAACATAAGATGTTAAATAAATAATTATAATTGCACAATATTATTGTGAACTTTTAAATAAAATAAAAATATGGCTTATTCTTCCCAGGTCAGATGTATTTTCCGAGCTATTTATCACTGAATAGAAAAAACGACTTTCAATTAGTAACTATTACGTTATAATTTATTCATTAATTAATGGGTTTAATGACTGCCCTTCAATAGTCGACTGCTGAACATAGGTCTACCCAAATCCCAAGGTTGGCAAGCGTGGTAATTTTATTATTTTGAGTTTTTATCAGGAAGATGCCGCTGCCCATCTTATTTTTAAGTTGCCTTCTGTCGCCTCTTACGACACCCACGGGACGATATGAGGTAGTGGGTGGATATTCTTACACCGCCTCTACACGGTAGACGGCGAGGTTTATGATATCTACAAACTAAAAAAGATAATACTGATTTCATCACCACTCTTGGGCATGTCTTCTCTCATTTCTGAGGCATAGAAATGTTTGACGCGCTGTTCCAATGCGTGTTGGCGGACTTCAAATTTTTCATCTTCAATTTCTTACTACGTGAATATGTGACATAATCAACACTTAAAATTATAATAATAATTTCATTGGCTACAGAGAGAAGCTGGTATATTTCTTTAAAATAATATATCCATAGTAAAAAATTTCAACCCCTTAATGAACGCAGAGTCGCCCTCTGTTTTCTACCCTTAAATGTCGGAACTAAAATCGATACACAATTTCACCACCTTGATTATGTTTCTATTTAACTCGCATAGATGGCATTATTCTTAAAAAAAAAAACTGAACGAAAGTATTAGCAGCGTACGTATAATATATTTTGTACAAAACTTGAATAAAGTGTTGTGTGAAATTTTCCTAATACTATTTAGATTTGAGTTGGTCTTCAAATAAAAACTTCCTTTATTTTATTGCTATTAACATTTTTATCCGGTAAATGTGATAAATATCTTTCTTATATTTTCTTTATGCAATGTAAATGAACAAAATTTTCAAGTTTATTTGATTTTTTTAATTATTTTAGTCCTAGTGCCGTATTTTATTTTCGAAACTATTATAAATATTTCAACATTTAATTTTAAGTACGACATAAAAATCCTAAATGATTACGGCCAATTTCAAAACGATTTGATTGACACTCAAAAAAGATTGTTTCGATTTACAAAGGAATTGGGCTTTATAGATTTTTTATTATTATGAATATTCAATTCCGTCCATCAGATTTCGTCGACTTTTATTAAAATCGATTTTAACACTTCGCCATTCCGAGAAAGTAATTAACTTAATCGATTGGAGCAGTAGTAACCAATTAAGAACCGAAGCGGAATGCTGAACATTTTTAATTTAATTGTGAAACATTTTTTAGGAAAGTACAATAAAATGGATACAGTATTCAATTTGATTAAATTTGTAAAAACTAAACACTATTTTAAGAAAACATAATATTTGATTAATATAATTTCATTACTGTTTCATTTTACTAAAATATAGTTATCTTAATGGATCTTGAAATATTTGTGAATCGATTGTTCAGTCACATAAAGTATTTTCATTAGACCGTCGAAATTATTAGTCTGCTTTTATTTAAACTTTAGCGCACATGTCTGATCACTTAGTAATGGAGACGGGCTTCAATAACTAAAATTCATACAGTCATTGTTAGCACAGCAGAAAGTACATCACTATTAAAATATAAATTGATGTTTAATTTAAAGGTTAATAAATTTTACCTGCATGCTAACGCTCTAGCATCGAAAATATTTTTCTTTTATCGCAGATACAAGCTTTATTAATGATATGACTGTCCGCAGAGACACAGACAGATTCTGATTGTCATCGAAATAAACATCGACCAACGCTTTCGCCGTTTAAATAACGCGAAGTTCCCTGCAATAACTTCTCTAGGCGTCCGGGGGTCTATCATTTACGAAATAATAATCAAAAATAAAAGGTACGCGTTTGTTTACGGGTATTAGTAATGGTCAGCACAAACATCTCGCTCTGGTGTATAATTTTTGCATCTGCTGACACCGAGGCACGTCGGCGTTGCTGCAATACCGCGATATATCACATGTTCGCGTACACCACACGGTATAATTCGTGTTATTTATTAGTGGCCTACGTTCGACTAGGTAGCAGAACAGACATTCTTAATTGGGGATAACCACGCGACCATAGCTTTTGTGAAGGCTCAACTCCGACTAGGGTTTTAGTTAGAAACGAAAGAGTGTAAAGTGTAAATCTCATCTCATCATTGGCTTCAACATTTCATACTGAGGTTAATAATTAAAATGCAATTTTGAGTATCTTACTCTCACAGATATAAACCAAAGATAATTATTACAGTGCAGGCAAATAATACTTGTAATTTTGTACACGCAATGTCATTGTTTTTTAAATTATTACTTTACCGCACGTCTATATTTGTTTACGATAATATTGCACATTACAATAAATTTCTTAGGAAGTGTACAGCACGTAGATGCTCGGCGTTGTAAGCTCAACGGTGAATTTTATTTCTTCTCTTTGCAAGGAGTTTGCGCGTTATGTGTTGCTAGGTTTATTTTTCCATTTCATTATCGCCTAACAGAATATCCATTAATCAGTTTAATGGTTAAAGCTTCATCAATTTACTATTTTTAATCTTTCATATTAATATCCCAAATGTGTAATTTGTAAAAGAACTTTGTGTGTAACCAAAATTTACAAAAAATATGCAATATTTTTAAGAACTACATTATAAATAATAATAAAAATAATAATATAATTTATTTAGTTCCAAATAAATATATAAATTAACATAACCAAAAATAATTTAGGGACTAAAATGACGTCTACTTATCACAAATGTTATAGAAAACAAATAGTGATAAGTGAACGCTTATTTTCAGAACACAACTAATCGCGGGTTCCAACGTAAATATAAAAACATACACTTATAAAGATTAAAAAATAAAAATAAAACTTTAAAGATAAATAAAAGAGCACATAACTAAATTATTTAACAAGATAAGAAGATAAATATAGAAAGTAAAATTTTGTATTTCATAATTTTATAATACACAGACATTATAGCACTTTCATTTTGAATAGCTGTAATGGATGGAAAGAATTATTCTAAACTAGCTGTTCAACTTCATCCGCGT